GAGCTGTTGTTGCAAAAAACTATTTCATGTTGTGAGTTGATTTGCACTAAAGGTTTCATTCTACCCAAGAAACGTGGTATTTATGTTTGGTGGCCACAGCAGCGTGTACATTTCATAATTCACCCATGACTGCTTTGTCGGTTAGAAGATTTTCACACCTGACCTCCTAAGCACAGCTGCCCACCAGTGAGGCTGCGCAGACAAAGATGTTTCAGGGTGAAGGGAGCGTTTAGTTATTTGCAGCACGATCAGTTGAAATGCGTCTCTTGTTTTTTCAGGAGTCAGCGTGAGTCCTTCCAGTGGAGACAGTGAATTCGCCGGCCTTTACCGCACACAGAGAGGTGCCAACAGCGGGACAGGATGCCTATTCCTCCCCCTCCCCCTCCTCCTCCAGGACCCCCGCCTCCCCCAACCTTTAATGAGGTTAGTGACCAAATCACATCGTATGATGGGACAAACATCAACATCAAACATAGATAAAGGATCAAAAAGAGTCTGGTTCTGTCTTTCAAATTCATCAAGTCATTTATCCTGAACAGTTTACTGCCACATGCACTGGCTTCTATTGTGTTCATTTAATACAGAATCACGTCATGAAATCCCGTATTCATGATTCTGTTGTAACTTCTGATGCTGTTGTATTGGACTGAGTTTTTTTTCCTTAATTCATTCAACAAATCAGATAATTTTGTTTTGTCGTTCTTAAAGGGACGACATAATATTCAGTTCTTAAAATTCTAATGATATTTTTGGTGGCTACACGTTAAAGACTGAGTTTCCAGCAGCTGTATGAGGACAGCAGGACTACGAAGGGGACAGAAGTGCACATCACTGACAAGTCACTTACGGAAACATGTTGGATTTATTTAGCCAGGGGAAAAATCAAATACTTCCTCTGAGGGATCTGCACTGATGCTACTTATTCTTGTCCATTCTGAAGTTAGTGCAAACGACCATGTTCCCGTGTTCATGTTCTTGCTTGGCATGAACATCAGAGATGGTTAATTATCGCAAAATATGCACTTTGACAAACTAGTTGAAATTGGCCAAAATCCAAAAGTGGCCTGATGGAAAGCTACTGAGTCATGTGACTTTTGTTTGCAAGCCCCGATTCTCTTTTACGTGTCCACAAGCTTTCTGCTTTGGCTTAGACCAGAGGAAACAGAGGTGTGATTGCATAGCTGTTAACTTCCTCCACAGGCGAACACGACTCCTCCCAAACTGAGCTCATCTGAGGCAAAAGGCAGAGGAGCGCTGCTGTCAGACATCTGCAAAGGTGCCAAGCTGAAGAAGGTCGCCGCGGTCAATGACCGGAGCGCTCCGATTATAGAGAGTGAGTTGCAATAAGTTTGCTTTATGCACAGACACACACTCGAACCTCAGCTGATGTAAACTTGTTCAAAAACTACTCGCAAAGAAATGTGTCCACAGATGTATGGGTGGCAGTCGTTACTTATGTCTTAAAGCAATGAGAAAGCAGGAAAAAACTTGATTCAACAATTTGAGTGCTGCAGGTGTTTCTTGACCTGGGAAATAGGAGTTCCACAAGATATAAAATAAGCTCTTAGGAAGGGGGAAAAAGACAAATTGTGAAACAAAACCTGACACAACAATCTTTTATATCAATTATCTTGTTTTCATAGTTGCTGGAAGCCAGAATTGTAATTGAAAATCTAATTTGATTCGTCATGCAGCTCTAATGCACACAGGGCTCTAACGCCAACGTTTTCTCAAATCAAAATGCTGCTAATAAAGTTTAATTGAATATCGTAGCTCTCCTGTACACACTTCTTCTGGTCTTTGGTGAACTCAAATGCTCTCCAGATATTTGAACATTGAAATATATTTTTTGTTAAGCTTTGAATTATGTCTGTATTGATGTTGTCTTTTTTTTTTTTTTTTCCATCAGAATCAGGTGGAGGTGGAGGTGGAGGAGGAGGAGGAGGAGGTGGTGGCGGCGGTGGCGGTTTTGGAGGCGGAGGACCAATGGGAATGGGAGGCCTTTTCCAAGGAGGTGTGCCAAAGTTACGCCCAATTGGAGGTAACAGCTTTTTAGTTGTGTCATGTGTTTGTTTTCGGTTTGCTGTATATTTATACGTGGACGGGGGCTGGCTTTGAATTTGCATGTTTTCTAGAACAGCTTCACCATTTGTTAAACTGTTGTTATCATTAGTGTCCATAGATTGGCTGTAGAGGGGATCTGAAGTCGGGAGAGAGCCAACATATCGGTCATATTTCACCAGTTATTGACAAACTGAGAAATCTATTTATTCTTTACGTCTGTTCAAAGCAATCTGTTCATTCGCTATCATTCTGTAGTTGTAGAAATACCTTGATAGCGCTTTACTTGTCAGGAACAAAAACACGAATCTCATAGGAGAAGAAGTGCATTGCATGTAATTTAGTTATTAGCCAATTTTGATTGGCATTGCCTGGGCAGGTAGGTAATAAATCATTGAAACAGACAGATTCACAAGATGTGGATATATACCTGATTGTTTCAGTTTAAAGAAGCTATTTTTCCCCTGGTCCGTGTGTCTCTGAAGGAGCAAACATGGCTGCAGTGAAGAGGAGGAGCATATTAATTATGAATGAAAGGCTGAAACTTGCTTTTTTTATATACAGCTATTAAATATTAACTGCTGGAATCTGCAGAATGTCCCTTTGAGTCCCTCATGCAGTGTTACACCATCGTAGGTTATGCAAATCAGCAAACTAGATCGTTGAAAGGAAATGTATGTACATGTATATCACACCTCAACGTGCACCATGTCTGTATATGAGTTACAGTTGAGCCTTGAAGATGCGTGTGTGTGTACGTAGGTTGGTGTGTACATCTTTGTAGGGGTGTACTTTTATGGCCACACGTCCATTGGTGCTTCGAGCAAGTGGTTGTTTTCTATTCACTCTGCTTTGGAAGGAGCTAAAATGTGAGCTTGACTTTGAAGTTCAAAGGGCCCTCAACACTTCACCACATACACACACCTATACAGCGGTCCATACATCAGAAATGTAGCTCAGTGAAAGTAGAAAATTATGTTAATGTGTTTTTTATTTTTTTGATAAAGACATTTTTGTTCTTAAGGACCTCTGTGTAACTTGTTGATGGTAATTTTATTTGTTGTATGTTGTCAAAGGAAAAAGAGCAATTTAAAGACGCCTCAAAACTCTAGAAAATTGTGATGGGCGAATTTCTTAGATATTTTGTAGACCAAGGGATCAGTTAGTTAAATAATCAAGTAAATAATAACCAGATTGATTGATACTGAGGTGTTAAAGACGATGCACTCAACACCACCTTTCTGTCCTTCACCCAGATGGTTCTGCCGGAGGTTCAGTGGGCAGATCTGCCTTGCGGCCGCCAGGATCCCGGTCCTCAGCACCTCGGCCCCCGTCAGGCCGCTCCACCTCACCTTCCCCAGCCAACAAGCCCTCTCCACCGGAGCACCAGCGCTCTCATCGCCCCTCGCTGCCAGACATCTCACGCCCTTCCAGCAACAGCAGCATTTCGTCAGCAGGCAGCGGGATGAAGCACAGCACCTCTGCACCACCTCCTCCTCCTCCCTTTAACAGAGGTGGCCGTGGCAACGCTCCTCCGACCCCGAACCAGAAAGTACATGCTCCATCTTCCTCTCACAACAGGGAGAAGCCCCTCCCACCGACGCCCAACAGGGGCCCCACCCCTCCTAGCACTGTAAAACCACTTCCGTCTTCCAGCAGACCACCAACTGGTGGCTCATCTGCTCCTCCTCCTCCACCGCCGTACAGACCACACGCTTCAGGTGGCGTCTCCAACGGGCCGTCTCATGTGGATGGCGGTGGAGCTCCTGAGCTTCCTCAGAGGCACAACTCGCTGCACAAAAAGCACACATCAGGAGGCGGCAGCCAAGGACGTAGCCACGCTCCACCACCTCCTCCTTCACCATCTCCATCTTCTCAGCAGGTCAGCAGACCACCACCACCTGCCAGAGAGCCACCTGGACGAAGAGCAGGTACAGTTCAAGTGACCTTAAGTTAGAACTAATGATTATTTTATTTATTGATTTATTCAAAGAAATTACCTGTTTTGTTCATTCTTACAGTAGCAGCAGGTACCCCTGACAAGTTGTTTTACTTTTTGTTTTAGGTATGAATGAAAACTTCAGTCCAAATGAATCATTTCAGGGGTTGATTTTATTCAGCTGTTATTTGGATGAACCTAATGATACGAATTATGCTCAGTTGAGAATTTTTTTTTCCAACTGAATAACTTTTTAGTTAATTTAAAAATCAGAAAATAGTCAAAATGTACATCCCTGCTTGGTAATTGACTGGTAATTACAGATTTCAGTCCATGTGTTGTTGCCCTCTGGGGCTGAGGGGTTCACACCACTGATCACAAATCCCACGTCAGGTGTTTCTCGTTTGTCTATTTTTTGCTCGTCATCTCTCTTCTGTTAGTCTGTCTGTAAAGGGCAGAAAATGCAGCCAAAACACTGGAATATGTATGTTCACGTAGACCAACTGATCCATTCATTGACCCATCACTATTTCACTTCATTTGTACATTGAGGGTGTGAATATATGAGTCTGCATTTGTCCCAGTGATGAAGACCATGTCAGTCCCCATTGTCAGCTGGAGGAATGTTCATACCGAAGGCAAAGCAAGTTTTGACTCGTTATCTCTGAACTTCTGAAGTGTAGTCCAGCCTTTAAGCATTTAATGCCTAAACATTTCCTCCACATGATTCCACCTACTCTAGTTCGAAAGTAGAGCAGAGGGCAGCAATGTAGTTCCTTTGGCTCTTTGCAACGTATAAATGCTCCTCCTGTGGTTGCAGTATACAATATCTTATATTGTATATAAGCCAGGTGTCAGCACAGACACTTAACACACAGCAGTTTAATATTTCTTAAAATCTTACAGCTGCTTTCGCATTTTTGGAAATTGCTTTTTCCTCATTGCATTGACAGTGAAGGAAATTGGAGTATTGTAACGTGGAGCAGATATGCCGTCTGTTGGCATGCCTGTTGAGGCTCGGTTGGGGAGATGCCATGCAGATGAGGACACGCATTAGATGTCTGTGTATTGTTCCAGTGTGTCACACAGAAGTCGCCTCTGTGCGTCTGTTAACGTAGAAGGAAACGCTCCAGGATTAAGACGCCGACATCTGCAAAGCGCCCTAGTTTTACTGAACGAATCCACTGCATATTGGAACTTTCAGATGCAGGTTTTTTTGCTCTCCCAAGGGCATTTATGGCTCCCTGGAAACATATTTGTAATTTGAAATCAGACTGAACACACAAAACAGGAAGGCACTTGTTAGCCAGTGCTTTGGCTTGTGATTGGATGACGAAGCGATTCGCCACAAGGTCTCCTGGTTTCTCTGCATTCCTGTAGCCTTGTGGAATATTCCAGCATTCCTCTTTACTTTCACTCTGTCTGCTCTCCCCCACGCTTTACCTTAAATTGTAGTGTGCCAGCATTTTTTTCATTGTTGCTGTTCTGTGCTCAGGATTGTGCTTTTATTTTCTGTTTCACACAGTTATGGTGGCTGAACCTACATATCAGTAGGTGGTTCATAGAAAACATTACTATGGTGGTGTTAATGTGGCTGTTAGATGCTGATAATGTAATGTTTGTAGATAAGGGTTTGGCTCATCGATGATGCTAATGCCAGTGGCTGATTGACAGTCATGACGGTGAGCCCAGCATCATGTGTCCATCTACACCGACAGTTGTGTGCATCCTGCCACACACTATATAACTCCAGTGTAATAATATTAATATTAGTAAAAGTCAAGGCTGCAGCTAAACGGTGAGCAAAGTGGCAGAAGGAAAGGAGTAGCCGGAGACTAGTTATGAGCAGTTTTACACTATTGGGGTGGTATTCGAGGGATTGTTTTATTGAAGGGATGCTCATCAAACTCTGTGGTGAAATTCAATTTAGTTGTTTTTAGCAAAGGCAATTTATATGTATGCGTATAACTATAGATTGAGAAATAGTGTTTTAACGTGCATTAGAACGTGATAATTAGCCTTGTGCTCTGTTTTGCTAATGCAGATTTCGCAGTGGCGCTTTTGTTGGGTAGGTTAATGCTTAGTTGCAAGCAACCCATTCCTATATCATTTTGAATTGAACGTCTTGGGTATTTTGGACTGCTGGTCTACAGGAGCCTGACGAACAATTAATAGATCCATCCATTAGCTACGCCTACTTTGTCCTGTCGAGGGTTGCGGTTAAATGGAGTCCATCTCAGCTCACACTGGACAAGAGGCAGAGTGCGCTCTGGACAGCTCCCCAGTCCACCTCAGTGTTCACACAAAGACACAGACAACCATAACAGGCTGAACTACATTTACTTGGAGAAAAAAAAAAGAAGGTAATTTTAGATGCTGAAATAAAAACAGCCAACTCTCAAACCAGTCTAGCTTCCTTAGATGCATAAACAGCGAAACATTTCCTGGTATCAGAGCTCTACTGCAAATGTTGGAAATATCTGAACATGGTGTGATCTCAGATACTCTATACTAGGGGTGTCCAATCCTGGTCCTCGAGGGCCACAATCCTGCATGTTTTAGATGTTTCCTTCTTCCAACACACCTGATTCAAATGATCAGCTCATCATGAAGCTCTGCAGAAGCCTGATAACGATCCTGATCATTTGAATCAGGTGTGTTGGAAGAGGGAAGCATCTAAAACATGCAGGACTGTGGCCCTCGAGGACCAGGATCGGACACCTCTGGTCTATACTATATGATTCATGGGATTGAAATAAACTAAACAACAAAATGAGTCTGGATACACTAAGGGAGCTGCACATCAACCAGTGTTTATCAGCCATCAGCTCTCACTATAAACTGACTGAAAACACTGGCTAGCCTAACGACACTGACCCGCAATGCACGACTACTGTTACACTGTTAGTCTCTCCATTTAAAAACAATATCTGATGTGATGAAAGCATTACTGTCACGCCCCAAATAAAGAAAAAAACGCCGATGTTCTGGGTCACTATGGTACATCCATGCATTCAGCTTTTGCCTTGTGCAAAAACACTTTGGCACTGCTCTTATGTCTTATAATGGAGGGGAAGCCATAATGTAGAGCGTAACCTCATGTGTTTCATCATTTGATCATGTGTGTGTGTGTGTGTTGTCCATGCAGCTCCCCAGGTGCCCCATCCCGGGTCTCGTAACGGTGGTCGGGATGCCCCTCCTCCCCCACCCCCGTATCGTGGCCACAGCTCTGCGATCTCAGAGCCCCTCAGCCGAGCGGGCAAACCGCCTCCTCCTCCCTCCTCCTCCATCTCATCCTCCTCATCCTCCCGAACCCCGGCCGGACCCCCTCCTCCACCCCCACCCATCCGGAACGGTCACTCCTCCAGCTCCTCCTCTAAGTCCATCATAGGTGAGTTGTGGCATCATCGTATTCCTCCTCCCTGTTCATAACTTTCACAACAACTGAGCAAACAGGGTTTTTAGACTAGAGAAGAACTGCGAGGTGAGATGAGATTAGTTTACCCATCAGGTACTTCTGCAGTTATCATAGGGCAGAAAACTTGAAATTTTAATTTAGTAATTAAAACATGTGTGTAGAAAAACACAAATAGCACCTTTAGGCACCTACCAGCCAGCTACACAGGACTCTGAATCAGTGTTATCACCACACCAGGAAGCTGGAACTGCTTGAAAGTGATAGACTAAGAAATCAAAATGCTTCACCAAAATCAATCCATGATGGCATGAAATAGATAAAGAGTCCTGGTAAGGCTGCGAACGTGTGTCTGATGAAGAAAAGGTAGGGAACCACTGAAGTAGTGCGCAGAACTATTGTAATAATTGCAAAAAAAAACTGTAATCTTCATCCATGACTGTCGCGTGTGGCTTCTGAAATTCTATTTTTCATGCCGATTTAATCCTTTCTTCATCTCATTTTGCCTTAAATGGTATTTTAAGTGACTTACTGTTGTACTTTCATAAAAATGGAGGACTCTTCAGGGACACGTATTGTTCTTCTTGTGAATTTTTATACAAACCCGTGGCTCACTCTTCCCTAGCGATCCCCCCTCATCCCTAACGTCAGCTCACAGCTCTTGTCCTGTACAGTCGCAATTAGCATAAAGTATGCATTGTATGTACAGTATAATTTCTTCTTCCTCTTGTTCTGCTTCTTCTTCTTCTGCTGCTGCTTCTTCTGTTTCTTCTGCTTCTTCTTCTTCTGCTGCTGCATCTTCTTCTGCTGCATCTTCTTCTGCTGCTGCTTCTTTCTCTGCTGCTTCTTCTGCTTCTTCTTCTTTTTCTTCTTTCACCAATATTGGTATCTTCTGATATAGAAATGGCAGTGTCAATAAGATGGAGTGGAGGGTAAACAAATAAACAACAATAAATGTAACATATATGAAAATATAAATCTGTAAAAATGTGAGAGAGCTTTCAGGCATCCACACTCAGACAGAATATTTATTTGACACTTGCTTCTCTATCAGTGGGAAATCAAACTATAGATGCTAGACATTGGATTTTATGACCATATCTTGACATTTCAGTGGTGAGCAGACATTTGCTCCTTACCACTTGTTGAAGTGTTTTGTTTTGTGATGCGGGGCACTTCAGTTGGTGCATTTGAAGTTGATGCTAGAAAGATTTTAGTCACCTGAATCGGTAAACGTGTTGGTCAGTGCCCAGAATGCTATCCAGGTTGTTACTGAGGGGGAATTCGTCTCATTGGCCAATGAATCACTTATTTAACAACATGGCACATCTTTGTGATTTGTTGCTGCCGTTTCATAAGTGGCGTCCTCTCATATCGTCCTCTCAAAAAATACCTATAAAGCGTGTGCAGTTTCAGAAGTTTTTTTTTTTTCCCAGCTGATTCATTGTTACCTCATCAGACCAAATTTCAGTTGGTGTCCTCCTCTCCCCATATGCTTCTGCAACTCATTTCCCCTTTTTCCCTTTCTGGATCACCAGCTGTAACTTCCTGTTACTAGTCTGAAAGAAAAGAACGTGTTCATGCTATAAAGGAACTGAGCCACAGAGAGATTTGAACAGAGATAACCGAGGTTGGGCTGTTTGGTCCAGACAGTGGTCTGAATGAGGTTTTGCACCGGTAATTTAGTAGTTAATATTACAAAGTTTCTGATTTTACAATGTCAATAACACTGGGCAGGACCAGTACACCCAGTATCCCAAAATGTTGGGCATCTTATGTACTCGGACAAACATCTCTTTTCAAACCAAGCAGTGACGGCGCCGTTGAAGTGGTATTGGCCCGTTTTGTTTATGATCCCGATGTGATGGAGGCGACAGGGATGTGTAGCCACTGATAGTCAAATATCTGCTGCAGCTATGCAAACCAGCCTGTTTGTTTCCTGTTGTACTGGAAAAGTCAGGAGGGCAGGAACGCTTCCTAGATTACTATCTGAGCTTCATGTACAGATGCTGAAGTTGTAGGTCAGTATTTCTGTGACGTTAATAAGCAGGTTTTTAGGGTTGGCGCGTCTTTGCTCCTGAGCACACAGCGGGTTTGACTCTTAGAGAACCCGTAACAAGCATGAATTAAAGTCTGGGGTTAGTACAAACCTACCAGAGCATCAGTAACTCCTAACAGGGCACATGCAAGTTGAAAATAAACTAATAATTCACTAGACTTTATTGCTGGTTTTAGTATTTGATTTAATCGTAATAAATACACAGAAAAGGGCGTCAAGTGCTGTCAGCTGTGACTTCATGTCCACGAGGTTGACAGAATATTTAAATTTCTCTCACACTGATAAAAAATGGATAAAAAGGTGATTGGACTGCATTGGAATTTTAAAACAGATTCTTTGACGTATAAGCATACTTAAAAACCTGACTTTTAGTTGTATTTCCTCCCCTCAGATGATTTCGAATCCAAGTTCAACTTCCACCCCATCGAAGACCTTCCACCTCCAGAGGACTACAGGCCTTCCAACAGGGTCTACCCCAGCAAGAGCAACAAGGGTACGAGTGTCCTCTAAAATCATGCAGCAGATTGATGTTTGCTTCCTCTTGACTGTTTTTTAAGGTTGCAATAGCAAGACAGAGAAAGGCATTGTCTTTGCATCTCCATACTGCTTACACAGAGCTCAGTGTGGTTAGACGGGTTATTTTTATTTGCACAGAAAAAAAAAAAAAAAAAAAAAAAGGTGTAGATGTCAAGCGATGGAAGCATGTGGCTGAATTAAAGCTACAAAGAATGAAGAAGAAGAAATGGCTACAGACCCCCATCAAACAACCTCCACAGAAAATGTTGTGTTATATTTTATCATTTTTATTTTATATGATGATATACTTTACATTAACATAGAATTTTTTAAAATGAAGACACAGCTTTCTCAAACTTTGAAAGACGAAAAAAACCCATGACACACCAGGATAGTTTACAAAACTGTTGAAACTTATACAGTCAAGACAAAAAACCAAACAGTTGCACACTTTTTGGAAATACCTGTCAGGCCAATCAAGATCCAAACCAAGCTTTATGTTTTTGTTCATAGTTGATCTGATTGGTTTTGGTGCCAGAACGCTACAGACCACAACCTTTTACCTTTATTGTGCACGCTTGGTTCTAGTCCAATCAGGGACTTTTGTCACATCCCCGCGCCTGCTGCTTTTTGTTTTGCAACTTCTGTCTTGAGCAAAAGCACAAGATTAACTTTATTGTCCTTCTTGAGCTATTCACACACGCTGCAGCCAACACAAACAGGGAAAATACAGTGAATGGATAGAATTAATAAATACATCCAGTGAAAGCAGAATAAAATGAATGTCATCGTCTAATTACACGAGTCCAAACACATGGCGCTTTAAAACAAAAACAAGACAAAGCAAAAAAATCAATTAGAGCCATTTGACTTATTAATTAGCCTAATCGAAGCCGGAACAAATGAATTTCTACCACTAAGATAATGAAGAATGGAGTAGGAACAAGGCAGAACATGCTCACAAACATAGCCCGGGTCAGTGCAGCGTCCAGATCTTTCATCAGTCATCCTGCTACCAAATACTTACAAATAGTAAAAAAATAAAAGCTTTAAGGTGTATTCTTTGAACTGTCCTCAGCATTTTGGTTACTTATTTCCATTTCCTTATTTCCTTATTGTCCAAGTTAATCATTTCACCGGTGTGTACTGTGAAGCGTGAGGACTGACCCGTCGTCTCTCCACCTTTTGCGTCCTCAGCCATGATGAGAGGAGCTCCTCCAGCGCCGCCGGTGGGGAGGTGAACGGACCTCAGCTCGGGACTTGAACTCTGTCGGGCGAGTCGACGGGCGGTCAGGAGGGAGTGGTGAAGAAGCACGAGAATCACAAACACACTACAGCGCAGACACACACACTAACACTAAAGCACCAGCCGGAAGCACAGCGGCGATCAAACACCGCTGCACCACACAGGTTCGACACTACTCAGCGGTCACCTTCTGTCTTTTTGCACGAGAGAACAAAACCACTCGAAGGCGAGAAACGGACTCAAGTTTTCCGACCGCGACCACCTCCGCTGCTCCTCCACCGACAGGACGCAGAGGTCTGACATATCAGGACCAAACTCCGAACACTTCCACATCTCTGCATTCCATCTTTTTTTTTTAAATGCATATTCATGATAATAATGATAATAATAATTGTGCTTTTCATAATTCTGATTAACATCTTTTATTTTTTATTTTATTATTTTTGGCGTTGTTTGTGGAGAAGAGAAAAAGAATCAACACTATGAATGAAAACGATTTCAGCAGCAGATGAATTCCACTCAAGTTTGTTTTTTTTTTTTTTTTCGTAAGATTGATAATGCCACACATGTGGGGCCTAATGGAGGTTATGATTTTGATTCGTTTTTGTCTTGAATAGCCATTCCAAGCTGTGCCAGGTAAGGGTGTGTTTCAATCAGCTCTCTTTCTCAGTGTGCCAAATGCGGGTGGAGTCCAACTCAATACATGTTCTACATATATATAACTGACATTTTTTATTCACTTCTCTGATCGTAGACGGAGTACAATACTAGAAAGTTTGCCAAGATGTGACCCAAATCTTGCCTGGTTGTTTAATTTTACATTTGGAGAGTTCCAGCTTTTTTTCTTTTTTTTTTTACCCTCTGTTTTTCTTTTTTGGGGATGTTCCTGTTTTCATCTTTGGGCAATATTGCACGGCAGCTTCACTGCTAAACTGAGACACTGTGCATGACGCTGATCTATGCACATAAGACATCAGGTTTCAATTCATGTCGCTGGAACAGAAAAAAGCTAAAGGGTTCATCCCCAATTTCTTCTGTACTTCAATTGTACTTCATATAGTGAGTGTGTTCCTTTCTGCTCGGGCCACAGCAGAGTCCAACACTAAATTATTATTTTTTTACTGGGCCAAGTTTAAATGATTTAGCTGCAGGTTTGCAGACGGCTCGGAGGAGTTTACAAGGGATTGTTGCTCACTTTTTGCAGGAATCTTCTTCCAGGGAAGTTGATCTAAAAGCTCTACTTGTGCTGCTGGTGGCCCTTTTTAAAAGAAGGACAGTACGGCCAGAGAAAGATGAGATGTGGTTTAATTGCTATGCAAGGAGCAGTTTGTACAGATTGTAGATGGTAGCAGCTAGCCAAAAAATAAAAAAAATAAAATAAAATAAAAAAGAGACAGGAACACGTAAGTGCCAGAGAACTGTTTAAAACTGATGGAGGTTCTTTACTTTTTATGAAGCTTCACTTTAACACTAATTCCATCATATCCAGGCCACAGTGCCATGCAGGTAAAGAAAAACCACAAAACAACAACCAGATTGTCCATTCTCAGTGATGCAGCTCCTCCTGCTGGTCTTTGCCTTACACACAGCTGTTGTCACGGTCATCGGTACCAGTGCTTTTATTTTTTTTGTTGTTGTTTTTCAGGGGGAAGATGACGACAACAAAGTAAATAAGATGCAAGTCTATTTGAAAAATGCAATATATAGTGTATATTTACATTAAGGAATATGGTAATCATAGCTATTGATCTATTTTTATGTTGTAAAAAGCTTGTAATATAGGAAAGAAAAATGATTAAGAGTTATAACGATGTTCCAGTCAGTGAGCTTTGGTCTGATAGAGCGGACTCTCTGTAGCACTTCTCTGGATGTTTGGCCATAAGGGTGAATGAGTTACATGGATGTATGTGAGGTTTTATTAACAAGCCAACGTTTTGGGGCTCCGGTTTCGCAACTGCCGAGTAATTTAGTGAATTTGGTGGATGATGGTGACGACACACACGCAAAGTACAAGAACTGGACTCACACTTGGTTCTGTGGATGTACCCTCACCTCGACCCCAGGTGACCCGACACGTTCGTCTCCTTGTGTTCTCACCTCGTCCACTCCCAAGAGCAAAAACCCTGTGGTCATTTCATGTTAATCAACCATGTTTTTTATCATTTGAAATAATTTCAAATAAATATATTCCTGTTGGGGGGAAAAGGGAACCCGGTGCTCTGTGTTTTTTGTTCTTTCTGCTGATCTCTGTGTTTTAATGACTGTGCAGGAAAAGAATTTAAGTTCACGACTCAAGTAAAAGTGACAGAAATCATCATAGTTTGAGTTTCAGTGTTTTTCTGTCAAATCTGACTCAAACTGGAAACTGCAGACGTCATTTGCATTGAATTGTTTGTTTAAAAATCCCAAAATTGTCACACAAATACAAATATTAAGCTTCAGTTTTGGAGAATGGTTCCCACTTTAACATATTTGGTGACTAACTACCTCTGATTATGTGTCATCGTGACCACCTCGACTCACTTTCACAGCCGTTATTCTGACTTGTAGGTAATGCTCTGGTATCACTAATAAACTGCATCGTCAAACTGAAGCAGTGAAATGGAAATTTAGCCGTTGTTTATTATTTACTCCTGTGTTTTTCCTTCTGTGGCCTGACAAAATGAGTGCTGCAAGAACAGCCTGTGCACTGCAGGATTTCTTTGCTAGTGGACAGGATTTATTGTCCTCGTGTTGCCGATACATCAGTGTAGGACGAGCAAATTTGAAAGATGGATTTAATACAACTATGACCCACTTAGAACTTTAAGATCGGGAACACCCGGGATCTTTCTGCGTGGAGTCTCCATGTTCTCCCCGTGCAGCGTGGGTTCTCTCCGGGTTCTCCGGCTTCCTCCCACAGTCCAGAAACANGGTAATAAAGAAAATAAGAAAAACGCAATAATTTGGTATGGACAATGACTCTTTTGCCTGCGTAAACCACATACCCATGATGCATCAGTGGCCTTTTGATTATTGTTTAAGTTAAGTTTATTTTAGAGACAAATAGCCACTACAATGGCCTTTTGGTGAAATTGTACGGACCACCATTTCCACGCCGTCAGACTTTTGCGGAGCATTTTATTAACTTTTAATCACCACTTCGTGTAGTTTGTGCTTGCCAAATTTCAGGTGTGTACGACTTACCCCCTAGGAGGAGATAGATTTTGCAAATGGCCGTTTTCGGCCACAAGCCGCCATTTTTTCAAAATGGCCGACTTCCTGTTGAGTTTCGGGTACGTGTTCTTGAGGCTTTTTTGTGCGTCTCGAGTTGTTACATGTGTGTACCGAATTTCGTGGCTCTACGTGAAAGTGTGTTTGGGGGCCCTTTTTTAAAAAAATTTTTAGGTGGCACTGTTGAGCAATTTTTCTATTGAGGTGCGTATTTCCCCCTAATTATAACATTTTTCGCTGGGTCTGATGTGTGTGGCAAATTTGGTGCGTGTGTGAGTACATTTAGTACCTCAAAAACGCGTTTCTTTGTACGGAATAATAGGAAGAAAAAAACCCGAGCAATTCCAATCGGGTCTTTGCACCCTTTTGGGTGCTCGGACCCTAATTAACACTTTCACAGTGTCTCATCAGAATTCAGCACATTACACAACACACATTGATAATACCTTCTGAAAATAAATCATAATAGAAAAAATTGGCCTGTAGTTGGAAAGTGTGTGTTCATCACTAGGTTTAAATATTGATATGACCTTTGCTGTTTTCATTGTTCTTGGGAAAATTCCTCTTTTCCAAGACTAATTGCAAATATAGGTTTCACCACACATTCTATTATATTCTTTACAAATGCCATATCAATGTTGTTACAGTCTTTAGTGTTTGTTTTTGAAACCTTTAACTATATCTATGTTCTCTTTCTCATCTGTTCCTTTTCTAAAAATTGTTTTTATTCTGTAATTTATTCTATTTATGCTATCTCTGTTTTTAGGATGTTTGAGTTCCCTCACCAGGTGAAATTACAATATATTTATTGAATTCAATGGCAATCACGCTCAACTCATATGTGGTTCCATTATTTTTTATTTAAAAATATGTAGGAAAGTTAGAAGTATAATTTCTGTTTCTAAAAATTGTATCTAATGCTTTCCATGTATTCTTTATATTGTTCTTGTTGTTTTCTACCAGTTTAGTGCAGTAATCCTTTTTAGTAGTGATGGTGAGATGAAGTCTCATGAGGCATTGAACCACTTGAGCCAACTGGTTTGGAAACTGGTTTATTTCTTGAAGCTTCATGTGCACACGAAACCACCTACTGGCCAGGTGTATAATCACAGCTGACTGAATCTTAACATGTGTGATGCATTGAATTTATGTCTGTTATGGCTCTTGGGAATGACTGAATTACAAAAAGTGTATGAGCAAATGATTTCTCCACATAAATTATCACATGTGCATATAATAAAATGTTGTTTGAATGTATTCTGTGTGTACTTTTTCCCAAAATAGTCGTATCATATGACATGTTGTGTAATGATGTTTTTCTGCCACTTAAGGAAAATGGCATGGGCTCAGTCAGGCAGAGGACAGTGCAAGTGCTTGTGGAACTAGGAAGAGGGCACCGAATATGTTTGTGTAACTTGGACCATGATGTACAGAACAGGGGAGATTTTATGCATTTTTATTCCACGTATCCAATGTGATCCATAATGCTGAGAGGCCGGGTATCCTTCACTATCATTTGTTAGTATCACTTGTTTTCTGGTGGCTGGTTAAAAGAGAATAAATGCAGTGTCTGTTACCTGTCTTTATTTGCACGATAAACGTCAGCATGAAAAAATTGTGATGGTGCGTTTATAGTATTGTAATGACTTACCTTGGCTGGTGAAGCTCCAGTTTCCTCCTTATTCTCATGCAAGGCACAGTAATGCCTTAGCATGGATGAGGTGTTGCTGTTGTACCCCAACTCCATTAAACACTTCACCTTTAAATAAAATAAGAAACTGTGAAAAATACAGTTCTTCATAAGCAAACCTGCCTAGTTTCCAGGTTGTAGATAGCAAAACATGGGCTTTCCAAATAAGCATGGTTCAGATCTCGAATGGATCTCCAACAGCTTGTTGTCGAGTTCTACACAAGTCTGTTGGAGATCATTAATGTGAGTCAGGTGTGTTGCAGATTCAAGATTCAAGATTCAAGAGTTTTATTGTCATATGCACAGCAAAACAGGTAGTTGTACTACACAATGAAATTCTTACTCTGTTCAATCCCCCGAAAAAGACGATACATTAAAGATAAATAAAACAAGCCAATAAGAACAGAATAAACAATTAAAAACAACAATAAAGTGTTTCAGTGTTACAGATGTGTGCGTGTGTTGCGTGCAGCGTGTGTGAGCGAGTCATTGAGAAGCCTGAGGGCCTGTGGGTAGAAGCTGTTTGCCAGCCTTGTAGTCCTGGCCTTCACACTCCTGTAGCGTTTGCCTGATGGTAGGAGTGTGAAGAGTGAGTGTTGCGGATGTGTGCTGTCTTTGATGAGGTTGTGTGTTCTTCGTAGGACCCTGGTTTTGTAAATGTCTTGCAGTGAGGGGAAGGCTGCCCCAGCAATGTGCTGTGAAGTCTTGATCACCCTCTGGAGTGCCTTCCTGTCTTGTGCTGTGCAGTTTCCGTACCAGACCGTGACAGAGGCGGTAAGGACACTCTCGATAGTGCATCTGTAGAAGCAGCTGAGGATTTTGGTTGACATGCCAAATTTCCTAATTTCCAAATTTGCAGGACGGAAACATCTAAAAAAAAAAACAACCTGCAGGACAGTAGCTCAAGAGGACTGGAGCTGGAGTTCCATTCATTAGAGCATTTCAGTTTGAAAAACTAAAGCTGAAACAAGGCAGCTGGAAATAAAATATTAAATGTAAAGCCTGAATGGATCTGAGGGTAAAAATAAGTCCAGCTTCAGATGAAGTGAAGGTTGCACTGATTAAAAGTGGATTTTCCCAAGCCAAAAAAACCCCAACACGCTTCTGTTTTTGGTCTTCCTCAAATTCCATCAGAAGTCGTGTTTCAGTGCTCATCAACAAATTCCAGGGGATCTACAGTCATCCTCATTTATTCATCCCCTTCCATTAAAGAAAAGGCAAAATTCACACTTAAATAAGTAGAAACTGAAAAAAAAGTGTTAAATTCTAATTTAGTGAAATAAGACGTTGCTTTGGAATTGTGGTTGAAAAGAATAATTTAAAAAACAAAACATGAAAAAAAAATGAGAGGATCTTTTTAATATGACAAATGGTATAAAGTTGCTCGCTGTACTTTCACATGTTTCGGCGGTTTGTCTGTCGCCTTATTCAGAACCGTCGTGACGTGTCTTTGTCAGCTGTCCCAGAAACAAATGAAGATATCTGGTATAAATTGTAGATTGTTTGGCGCTGTTTCAGGCAGTCACAGGAACAGTCAGCTTTCCCACCAGCTGCTCGCTGTGATTGGATGATTGGCTTCCGGATTCCCCGAGACTCTGGGATTTCCCCCACATAGCCCTCCATATAAACTGCTGTCATGTCGCCCAGTCTCATGCAGACAGTATTCCTCCACATCAGGACGGAGTGGCCGTCTAGTCTCCGTCTCGTCTTCTCGGCGGCTCGGAGTGACGATGAAAGTCCCGTTGATAACTTTACTGATTGTTTTGTCGTCGGTCATCGCCGGTAAGTTTACTTAATGTCACGTAGTTTTTGTTTCTGGTGACCTTCGTGTTGTCTTATTGTGCTGAGGGCTGGAATGATGTACGTACAGTGTGATATATCCGGAATAAAACCACAACAAGATATAACTTTACTTAAAAGACTGTTGTTGTTGTGGTCATAGAAGGTAGGTTTGGGCGAGTCCGAACCGGTTCTAGTTCGGAAGGAATTGTTCAGAAAGCTTCGTCTCGATTCTGCTTTTTGCTTCCTGAACACATTTCACTAGTGTTGCTCTAAGAACATTGTTAGAGGATGTAGAGACCATAGATATGCATAATAAAGTCTTTAATATGCATATCTATGGTCGAGACGGTGAGAGCGAGACACCGGAAGTGAGAGTGCTACAGGTGAGCCGAGGTCAGCACCGAAGCTAAACTTTTGACCACAAGTCCAGATCCATGAGTCGCTTCCATTATTTTCTACCTCCTGGTGTCTTAACAAGTCCAGCATTATTCTGGGACAGACCCGGCTGCAGAAACGAACTAGAGGGGGAGCATTACATTTTTTTCAGGGGAGCATACTTTTTCAACCGTCATTTTACCTGCTGAACAGTAGCTCTGTGGCTACTCCTACAGTATTGACAAATAATCTCTCGCTAAAAAGGGGTAGTTCATCTTAATATATATGTATATACACATATATTTAAAAAACACACAACTAAGTACAGTAGTGCAGTGATGTGTCCAGTTATTCAACTTAAATGTCAAGAACAGCAACAGGGGCTGGGGCGTGCACATAAGCACTGGTGTCAAACGTATCACTGGAGTACACAATGATGCTAGGGGAGCTAGCTACAGCAGCTAGGGAGCACATGGACCAGGGCAAAGCAGTGTGACCCTTCTGCCTGCGAGTAATGTAAGTTAATTTGACTAGGAGTATAGTTTTCTGTTCCAAGGTCACTTGGCTGCAATGGCCTGTTGCTGTTCCTTTTCCATGAACCTTGGTGCTTGTGTTGTTGTTGGCATTGTCACACTGCTCGGCGCTACACCTTGTGCTCTCTAACTGCTGTAGCTAACCATCCTAGCATGATTGCTAACTCCAGTGTGACTGTTGACTTTGGTGCTTACATTTTCAGTAGAAGTGGAGTTGTGTGGGGCTGCCTGTCACTTGTCCTTTTTGTATTTTTGTGGAAATAAATTGGGTATGTTCATGTTCATTATCGCCGGTAATACGCGGTAATTCCTAAGTTATGAACCAAAGTCTTAGTATGTGCGTTATGCACATTCTTCTGTCTTTATTTCTGTTTACTTATATTTTTTTTAGCTTATTTTATGGTCAGATTGTATATCTTTTAGCCTTTTTTTGTATTTGAAAAAAGTCAGGTGATGAAATGGCACATTGTTTACAGTTTGTATGGCTCTTATGCTCCTCAAATAGTGTGATAATATAAAACAGTATTAACCTCATTGAATGTGATGAACAACCTCTGAGTTGGTTGTGAAACCCACAGTTTAAAGAGCCAGCTGTTGTGGTTCCAGTCAACCAGGAAGCTAAACTCAGTGACATCACTTCACCTGAACAGATCCAGGTGAAGTGGAGCCTGCTCCATGATGGAGGCCTGTTGTCTTGTCTCACACCCTCAGACCAAACAAGCCCACCTGATGTCATTACAGTTTAGAAGTGTTCAAATATTCATGATTTTATGGTTTGTTTCAGCAGAAAAACATGAAGCCGCTCAGCCAATCGAAGCACAGGAAGGCGGTAAAGCTACTGTTCAGTATAGAACCAATTCTCCCACCAACTTGGAGAATGACATGCTGATTTGTAAGAGACTTGATGGCAACTTCAGTGACCTCAACAGTTACATCTACAGCCGTCGACATGGACAGGAACATCCTCAACCACCGATGGAGCAGTACAGAAACAGAACACGTCTGGTTCTTGAAGACCTGCGCAAAGGGATCGTGACTCTTGAGATCTTCCCAGTACACTCCAGTGACAGTGGACGATACAAATGCTTTATAAGAAAGCAGAACATCACCTTTAATTTTACCATTGTTGGTGAGTGCACTGAATTTAATACTGTGATTGACTTTACTGTCAGTTTTTAGTAAATGTATTCAGTATGTTGAATGAATCTGAAGCTGCATAATAGATGCATGAGTTTCCCCAGGAGATGAATAAAGTGTCTATCTGGAAATTAAGAACAAAATCCAAATAAGATGTAATTAGAAACAATACTTGTGTGTTTTTCATTTGAAAAGTCATACCGAAGAAGAAGACGGATGCTTTCAAGATGACGACAGCTTCAGCGGGAATAAAGACGAATCCAGGTGAGGCTGATTTTATGTTTTTGATGAGATCTCTAGAACAATGGCTTTAATACACAATATACAGTCATGACTCGATAATCTGACCCTTACCAATCCTAAACCTTGCTATCTGACAGGTTTTTAGGAAAAACCAACAGAACCCATAAAAACAGCCTTAACATAGCGACAGCCTTGGATTCTGACTCCGACATGACATTTAATGTCACCAATCAGGATGACGGCGTATTATCTGACTGAACAATCCCACAGATTGGCTACGTTCACACTGCAGG